GCTCATTACAAATTATTATGAAAAAGAAAAACTAATTTATAAATAATAAAACTATAAAAATGATATTAACTATCATCTTTTGCATTTCAGTTTTCGATCAATTAATTTGTCGTATTTAAAAAGCAAAGTTTAGCAAATGATGTAACATGAAAAACTTTACAATTCATACAATAAAGTTTATTGTAATTCATTTCAAAAAGAAGACAAGTGAAGTCCAAAATATACTATTTTATCTAGTTCACTTATCGAAATGAATGATTGTTGACATTTTTCGATATTTGTCAATTTTTTATATTAAAATAACTGCAATCAATCATGAAACATAGAAAATACGAAGCGGAAAAACGTTATACAAAGTAAAAAGAAAGATTAAAAAGTACAACCTGAATTTGAAATCAAAGAATTCTCGAAGAAATACTTTACTTTCATCAAATCCAAAAGAAATTATTTGTAAGAGAACAGCAATCACAATCTCAAACCATATATGATATAAGAAACGGTGCAGTAATCATAAAGAAATCCTTTACTTGTTACTGCCTTTACGTGGAAGATTTATATTCACTTTTATAAATTTGACTTCTATGCTTTTGTCGTTGAAGTAAAAGAATGTAAGAGAAACAGATTTTTTAAACTACACATGTGATATATTTTAAGAGGTTTTTTTTACTTTATGTTACTTTTTTCGTCGAATCTGACTTTCATTATTTATTCTTTATTTCTTTATCATTTGTTTATTCATTGATCCTCTTACATATGTGAACTAATATTCATCATCATATGTAACGACCTGATGTGTAATTCTTTGTATTAATGATATTTTTTATAGCTTAAACATTTCTAATTCCTGTTATATCATGTAAGCACTCCTAAGTATTAAGGTTTTAATCATATTACTTGTCTATTCTGGAGATGAATGTTTTTTTGAAAAGACATTGATTATTTAAGTAGAACTCGTTATTATTTTTACATTGGCAAAGAGAAAACATAAATGAAGTATATTTTAAAAAGTAATCAATGATAGACATCTACCTGTAATTTTTGTTTCCATCGCATCTTGCTAAAGTATTGTTATATAGCCACTTCTAAAGTCGTTGTTTGCATAATGATGAAACAAGGATACGTTGGTATCACATTTCTTCAGGAAAAGTCACAAGCTATATATAGGACAGTTGATCAAATATTCTCGGGAATTATTCACAGGATGACAGGAATAAATCTCGCTTGATAAAGTGTATAGGAAAGACGACGCGTAGACAAAGAAAAGGAGAGACAAAACATATACTATATACAAGCAAGAAAAGTGCCAATATAATGTCACATAGGTAAATTAGTGGGAGAATAAAAGGAAAAGTAGCAAAAAATGGAGACAATGCTAAGAACATGTATAAGAAAAGAGAGGAGAGAAATGTTTAAAATATCAAATCATTGTACTTCACTTTCAAAAAAAAATACTTGTTCGAGATTATACATATCCGATGGAGTAATATATATATATATGATGTTATTGGTAAAACATATTGATTACCAACATACATCCTTCTGTAGAAATAAAAAGTTGTCCATGAAAGAATATTAAGAATCGATGCACGAAACATGCGTCGTAATATAATACATCTCATATAAACGAGATAAAAAAGAATGATTGAGAATAAGTAGTAATAAAAATATAAAGAAAGAGAATTTAAAAAAATGAATTATTTAATAGTAGTATTATGCAGAGACCGAAAGCGAATCGAATGCATATATCAGTATTCGCTTCATTCATCAAATAATATAAATAGTAAAAAATAAAGCCAGACGAAAAGTTGAAACATGCTCGGTCACAATTTGATGAACTCAGGGTTCATCTGAATAGATAAATAAAAGTCTGTCGAAAAAGAATATTAACTCATAACAGTCGAATTATCATGAATATTTATCTATTTGTTTCTGTTTCGGATAAAATTGTACTATGAAACATACAATATAGATTTGACACGTTAAAGACCTCTCATAAAATAAGAATATTCGATGAAGGAAACAAAAAAGTTTAACTGAATTCAATCTTTGCCTATTTAATCAATACTGCAATTCAATTTATTTTCATTCATTTTCGAACTTAACATTCAGCTTATTTAGTAATTTCCGTTTTCTCATGATTCCATAGTATTTGCTAAAATCAAATAATTAATTTCAATAACCTATTTATTAATGATATATAAGAATAATACACAACATCAAAGACTAGATTCATTTTAATAAAATTAAAAAGAAAAGTTCTACTGCATTCAAATCATTCTAGTATTGTTTACATATCTGTTAAATGTGTATTTGTTCTTGAACGCATATGTATTTTAGATACTATATTATCATTTGATTGTATTCTTAGAGAATTTGATATTTTTTCAAATAATTCAGTTGTAGTTTCACGAAAATTTTGACAACATAATAAATAAATAATTAAATTTCCATTTGAATTAATTGTTTGCATAAAATTAGCAAATATATTAAATAAACGTTGAATACGACATTGAAAATAAAGATTTTCATTCGATATATTATCATCAGTTATTGAATGTTGAACTTCATATAAATGATTAATAAGCATTGGAAAACGACATAAAATAAATAAGAGTACAACAGCAATAAGCATTATTGATACATGATAATGTCGTCGAGAATAAAAAAAATTTGTTCTTATCATTGCCATTTGTCGAACGGATGTTGATATTAAACGACGATGTTCATCATGATATTTTATAAGACGACGAACAGTTAAAATATTTATTAATATTAATGTTACTAATGGTATAACATGTACGATTGGAATATAAATCGAAAGATTAATAATTTCTTGAAACATTTTCTGTTGACCAATGTCAGTATCTAGAATGATTGAGATTAAATAATAATATATTTTCTTTTGTTATGTGATATGATACTTACAGAACATTTTATAATAAGTTTGATTTTCAGTATTCGTTTGTGTAGTAATTCGAAATTTAAACCAATATAATATGACAAAAATAATTGAAAATATTGTTAAAAATAAGATTATACGTAGAGCATTTCGTACAGTACAATATTGACTTGGACTTATACCTGTTGAAATATATAAATAACGATCAACAGAAACAGCTACTGTATAATAAATTATACATAATTGAAGTGTATTCATTAATGGAATGATATATGGTGATAATCTGTAAATATTTATAGATAAAAATATGATTTAGATATTTATAAATCTTACCGATGAAATATTTGATTATAGATACTATGTAAATTTTCTTGATTTTCAGAAATAAAATATGGAACAATAATAGTTAAACGAAGTGCATAACATAGAAAGAATAAAATAAGCCATAGTAGATTGGCAACTGCTAAAGCAATTAAATATATATTGGTTGATAATGTTCTCATACGTTTATGGGCGAGTATAATTATTGAAAATGTATTAGCTAATAAACCTAATATACATGTAATAATGGATGACCATCCACCAACAATTAATAGAATAATTAATACGAAATTTTCATCTTCATCAGAGCATGAAATATTTACTGTATTGTTTGGTATCATTTTCTATAATCAATTGATGTCTCCAAAGAAAAAGACAAAATGATAAATAGAGAATCCTCCAAACACGTCATGACTAGTGAAGTATGCCATAAAAATAATGATATTATCTTTGATGTTATTAATATTTTATATCCTTATTATCCTTGACATTGAAATACCAATGACCTAAGATTTTAATTATCTATGCACCTATTACCTTATATTTATATGTCTACCAAAATAAAAATTATTATAGAATACTTATTGTTCTTCTTTCGGCAATCTGTCATTTATATGCTACTTCAAGAATTAACTATTCTTATTATAGGCAAGTTAATACTAGAAGGCTTTTGGTATTTTAAACTATCAATATGATTAATTTTTTATTCTGTTTGACGGATGGGTTCACAATGATAATTACCTATTCTTTGTTAATAAGTTCAGCAATCATTTCTTGAAAAAATAGATCAGATCGACGGTAGTTCAGTTGGTAAAGCGGAAGACAGTAGATGTATAATAATTGTAATATTTAGGTCACCGATGCAATTCTGGTTTGCAGGACTCTTTTTTTTCTTTCTTCTCTTTTTCTACGATATATTATTTTTTTATTAAGTTCGTTTGGAATAGAAAATAAATGAACACGAATAATTTAAACAAATTTTAGTAAATGAAAAGTTATTTGATGGAACAAATCATTTTTTTATTAAATATTTTACAATTTTTAAAAATATTGCATATAAAGAAAAGTATAATAATAAATATATATATAGGTAGATCGTAAAAATTCAATATTATATATTAGTATAATATATATTTTTTTTGATTTTATTCTTATTTATTAATATTCACTAATTAAAGTTTATCTATAAAAATCGATGTATCAATAACATTATTTTACATATGAAAGGTTATAATCGTTAGATGAATTGTCTTTGAATAAATAATCGTGAATATTAATGATTTTAACTGATTATAAAAGAAGGTACGCCTACGCAAGAATTGTATTGTCTGTAGATGGAATGTACTTTAAAGAAACAAACTCAAGAATGTTGGTAACAGGTGTTATAGAATATGTTTATATTTCATATAATGCTATTATAGGTTTACATATTCATAACATTGAAAAGAAACGAGTCACATATGTTACTCTTCTTTTTAGAGATAGTCGTCTATGATATAATTGATGAAAATTTATGAACAGAAATTGAAATTTTACTAGAATTTTTATACTAATTTATAATTCTGAGTTTATATATATATATATATAATGATATGTAATTCTGTCATTGCTATCCATCGTGTATAATAACTGTAATCTTCAGGTCATTGGTTCGATTTCGGTTTGTGGGACTCTTTCCCTTTTTTTGATTCTATTCAATGACAATTTTAATCTAATATTTTTGTAATGAGTACAGATTTCAGAACTGATTTTTATTTTGTATTCAAAAAAAAGTTAAAAATTATTTTTTAGCAGCTGAAGCAGTATTAATACCACGAACGGTATCAATCATCTTTTTAATACCTATCATTTGTGGACCTAATTTATTAGCATAATTAGTAGAACCATAACCCCACCAATCAAAACAACCATTTGGATTTTGTGGGTTCAATGATGATTGAAGAATTTGTGGAAATAATACAATGATATCATTAAGTTCAGCAACTTCCAAATAACCTGCTTTTTTAGCAAAAACATCACCAACAAATGATTTACCTAAACAAAACAAAAAAAAATAAATTCAATTTAATTCTTCATTTTTCATAAAACAAAAATAAGAAATTATTCATACCTTGTTTACACCCATGAAGAGCAACATGAATTGGACATTTTTTTCCTTGAGTACAAGCTGCTGGGAAATAAACATAACCTTGTTTATCAAAACCAGATCCAGCACTTGATGATGCGGATGATCCACCCATACCAGGAAGTGATAAACCAGGAAGTGACAAATCAGGAAGTGTAATACTTGGTAATGTCACTGAACCGGTACCGAGTGTTGGAAAATAATTTAATGGATTATATAAAGCCATTGTTGCTTGCATCCAATTTGACCATAAAGAAAATACATCTGTAGCTTTAGCATCTGATCTAGCAGCTGGTGGATTCATAAATGCGGCTTGATCAAAAATCATAAATTGTCCATTAAGTGGGATTGATGATCCACTTGGTGGTTTAACAAGATTACCACCAAGTAAATGATTTAACATATCATAAGCCAAATTATAATTACTATTTGAAAATAAAATAAAATATAGGATTTATTAAAATAAAATTTTCTCTTTTCTATATACCAGTTATTAATGTAATTAGCGCTGGAAAGTACTGCACATTGTGCACCAAAGTTGTCTGTTGGAAAACCATGATTAGCTGCAAGATCATAGTTAGTTTTGATATTAGCACTCAATGGTGTATAGATTTGTTCATTGATTTTAACTACACCAGGAATTACAACTCGATCATTTGTACCAGAAAAGATATATACTGGATCATCTTTAATATGTGCTGTTGAATCAACATTACCAGATGTAGCATATGCTTTCAATTTAGTCTGGATATTTGCGCTCGAAACCGATGTAGCTGGACCGTTCATACATGCGCCAATAGCTGTCATCATATTACCTTGAGCACAATAATATGGAGGACCAGCAACAACACCACATCCACTAATTTCAGATGAAAAGGCAATATGTAATTGAGCTGCCATTGAACCACCAGCTGATATACCTGAGACAGTAACATCAGTTCGTGGAACTTTACCTTCAATTATTGAAGCAAGAAAAACGATGGTACAAAATGTTTTCAACATTTTATAATAACTATTTTAAATAGATATGAAAAACTCAACAAGTCCACTGATTTATATATACGAACGAAACAAGAGGGAAAGGCAAAAGGGCGTGTATATCAAAACAGGTTTGTAAAATGATATGAGAAAAAATATTTGTGAAATATAAGAAATTAAATATTAATATTGAAAACAAAATCGAATATAATGTATCGATCGAACTATTAAGTTATCATTATCTTTTATTGAGTACTAGTTTTGCTGCATTGTCAGTGTGACTCTCTCCATAGTTTTTCCTTGTTAATCCTTTGTAGAATAATCTATCCTTGACAATGATTGGTTCGATTAGAATAGATTATATTTCAAAAATATTAGACTATCGTTTTCTTTATATTTACCTTGATCATTACAATATTATGTTTTTTTGAATAATAACATAACTAGGTACTCTTTTAATAATCAAAAAATATGATTAAATTACAAAAATATTGATATTATCATGGCGAAACTTGTTTTTTCATTCTTTACCATTTATCGAGAAATTTGGGTACCATGCATTTATGATAATCAAGGGTGTCCTGAGGTTCAAAAGATTAGGGGGCCGTTAACAACTTTCTTGAAATTTTTCCGAAATATTCATAGATTGTCGAACCAAAATTCCGAAGATTGGGAGTGGGGACGTCGCGGCCCCGGAAATCCTTCACCACGACACTATTGAATGATAATCAATAATTGAACTTCGTATGAAACCAATCCTGTAATATTTCATATTACTTATAAATGTATTTACTAGCTTTCGATAACGCTATCATCGAATTGATAGATAAAAATGGTGATGACATATGATTCTATATTAAGCTATCTTTATGATATGATGCACTTTTAAGAATTGACTTAGAACAAAAGCAAATATTTAATTTAAATCAAAAATAATAATCGCAATTGTTTTTCATTCCTTAAATCCTTCGCTTTTTAAAGTAGGTATTTAAAATAACGTAATAAAATAAAAATTTAAATCGATTTTTTTTGATATAACTTATCTTGTTAAATAAGAGAATATATATTTGCATTTATTATAATTTCTACATACGATAAATAATTAATTGACATAATTTCTTATATAATAATAATATACACAAAGGAAAGAGAGAAGAAGAAGAAGAGATCTGCAGTTCTATACTGTTATTTAGAGTTTAACTAACAAACATTATATTCATATACGTATACAAAACGAGTATGTACTTGAGTAAAATAATAGTAATATTTTTCTTGATTATCTTCGATAAATGTTTTTGGTTAATGCCATATTTGAAAATCCTCGTCATTGTCCGTTAAATCATTTTCATTAACAAAACGAAAATCTTCATCATCTGTTAAATACGATATAAATGATTCAATATCATCATCATCAAATAAATGATCAAATCTAAAGAAAAAAACAATAAGAATAGTTGTTGTTTTGTTTTTTGCAAAATACATACTCATCAAAAAATCTTCCAACATCAATTGGTGAAAAAACTGATATCATAAATACATCAGAAAAATTTTCTAATTCACCACGAATATTCATACGTTGTCGACGACGTGGTGGACCTAATTGAACATATTGTCCACGTTTATCAACATGTAAATAGAAACATTTTGAACCAAATGGGCATAAACCATCACCACGTTTAAAAAATTTACAATGAATTTTTCTAAATAAAACAAGAAAAATTTATTGAAATTTGTAATTTTTTTCGTTTTTTACTGGAGATTTTCTTTATAAGCTTGAATTAAATTATTTTTTGCTTGATCATTTTCTGGCCAATATTTACTTGGTGTTATAAAATCTGATTTTGTTCGACATTCCGGACTAAATAGATTTAAAAAACAAAAGAAATTTATTTAATGAATAAACAATAGGATGTTTTTTTTCTAACCAAGCTTTAACAACTTTATATTCATAACTTGCTGATGAACGCCATTTTCTTATACATTCCAGACAAAAAATATGATCACAATTTTCCAATAGTCCAAAACGTTTATCACCATCTCGATCCCATACTGTTTCAAGGCAAATACCACATTTTTTATCTTGACTACGTTGAGCTGCAAACGCTTCTTCACAATCAGCTTCATGTTTCTCCAAACATTCCTTAAGAAATTAAATTAATAATTTAGGTTTCTTATATTTTACAATTTCGTTTCATTGTCACATAGAATTCTTCTCGAGTAACTATCAGAGGTAAATATATACATACTAGACGATGTTGTTCGCGTTGTTTTTCATTTGTTGGATCTAATACTAGTAATTCACAAAGATCACATTTATCGAAATGCATATAGGGACAATGACGTCCAGCTTCTAATTCTTCACAATATCCATCTTTTTCAGCACAAGGACATAATGATTGAAGTTTAAAAGTCGAAGGATTTTCTTTATATTTTTCGAGAGAAATGGACGGTTCATAATAAGTATTTGCATAGCTCGTTGATTCTAGAAGAAAAATATGTCCTTAGAATATCAATATATGAATCTTTCCTTTTTTTTAATGACATCATTGATCGAAAATATGACAACGTGTTTTTTTATCGATTTCTCAAGGAATCAAAATCAAGTTCACTGCATAAGTGCATAATTAAGAAGCAAGGAGAAAAAAATAGTTTCAACGACGTACATTGACTAAACAAACCAAAACTGGCTATTTAGAGATATATCTTGCCATAGTTCTATACAGACTAGTATTCAAAATGAATTAAAATAGGCAAGTGTAGGTATGCCAACAACTTCCACTTACTACTGATTGTTTTACAAAGAATATTTAAAATTCGGATGCGTATACAATGCGTAGGTAACTGATAAAATTTAAATCAGTATATTAGTATGTGAAACAACAAATATAAATAAAATTTTTCATAAATACCAATGAAAGTATTCGTCTGTATTTGTTTATGTAAAAGGAACATAAGACACAAACAAACTAATTATATCTACCACGATAGAATTGTATTTATGTAATGCTTCATTCAAGTTAAAACTAAAACTACGTCAATATTTCCTTCGTTTCAGTATAGATTTATGATATATGTCATCTTTATTCTGTTTAAACAGATTTTACTTCAAAAATTTATTTCTATTACCTTTATTTTGAGTTTCAGTGAAAGATTGAGGTTTATCGTTGATAAAGTTTTGTTGAAATGAATTTGTTATTGGCTCGGTAGAAGAAAAAGATAAATGTGATTTTGGTCTTGTATGTTCATATCTGATAAATAAAAGAATTTTCTTATAAGAAAAAAAGTCGAAATAATTTAAAACAAAAGATCATACCTGCATCGATCTCCATACATACATTTACCTCTCAAATAATATCGACAGATATTATTCGATTGATTATTTGATCGATCGTGTGAATAAAAACATTTATCACCATAACGACACATATTTGAAAGAAAATATCTAAATCAACAAA